TAGAACATAAGTTGGGAGAAATGTGTGCTCTGAACTCCGAAAGCCTAGGCCAGGTTGAAACACTGCTAGAGGCTTTACAAGACTTATAAGAGTCTTATTAGAGAGAAAGAAGTTGGTAAAGAAGCCTTTATACCTCTAGTTGAGGGGGTTTGTTTTGTTTGGTAAGATGGAAGAATGTCCTGTACTGTAAATAACTTCTAGAGCAGACAGAGTATGTTCATACTCTGTACTAGCTAGGAAGCTGGCCATTTACTAGATGCTCAAGTGTGTTACAAAAGGGAAATGATGTCATGGGAAACCAGGGACAGGGAGCTGTTCTGTCTTAAGACAAATACAGAGCCTTTCCAATCCAAATAGAAATCCTCTGGAGCTTGGAAGTCTAAGCTACTTAATTATGTCATCTATTTGTGTGTGTTTGTTTCTTGCATTCAAGAGCTTCCTCATCTGTCAGCTAGAAATGTTTTTCTTTTGATCAGCACCGGGAAATATACAAGGTGCTTGGGAAGGTGGTCCAGCTTCTCCCTGACACTGCTGTTAGGTGGTGGTAGTTTTTTTCCTTTTTTTTCCTTTTCTCTTGCGTCAGACCTTACGTAGTGGTGGTGACTGAGGGCTACCCCTTGGGGCTGCCACAGGCCGCCCCCTTGCCCATGCTGGTTTAGCAGACCTGCTATCAGACGTTTCAGCCTACTGCCCCCTGCTGAATGAAATCTCGAAAGCTCCGCGTTCCAGTGAGTGAAAACCTGTTCTGTGAAAAGCTCTGTCATTGAAAAGACTTGAACTTGATGCTTGATCTTTTCAAGCATCTGTTGAGCTTTTGGCAACCAGTTTGCTGTACTGTTTTTCCATCAAGATATCCTCCTACTGGTGATAACATCTGCATTAGGAGGAGGGAAAGTGAGAAAAGCTGTTGTAGTTAATTCTTTTACCAAGTTCCACATGAATACATCTTAATTTCTTCTTCAAGAAATTTTGAATTTTACCTTCTATGGGGAATAACAAATCTGTTTTCTCCAAGTCTAAGGTCTTCTGTACACTCAGGGCATACTCCTTGGGAGGCAAGTATTTGACAAAGCTCCTGATTTCAGTCAATTTTCTTACTGAAGAAAGACAGCAGCATGTGCCTAAGGCCTGCAACAAGGCTCCTGAGGTAGAATACCGAACCCCTAGAGGCAGTTGCCACATAGCTCTGGTCCAGCCCGTTGCAGTTATTTAAGGAAACATTGAAACAATGTGGGAGAAAAGATCTTCTGCCCTAACAGATTTCTGTATGCCTGTGGTAGGTAAAACACTCTTCTAAGAAGTAAAGGAAAAGTTAAGTTTTGTTCCTTTCCTCCAGTAAAGAGGGGATTATGGTATATATTGCTATAACCTGGGTGCCTGTTCTGACCTGTAGGGTGCATATTATGAATGAATAGGTATGCTTTGAGATCCTGGCTGGAACACTGACTGTGTATCCTGATGAGGCCTCAGTAAGAGGCAGTTGTGCCCCGTCACGATCTAAAATGCTTCTGCAAAAGCACAAGAACAGTTGTTTAAGTGGCATTAGGTCCCTCTCAGGTAGCCATTGCACAGTGACTCAGGATTTCTGAATGCACACAGATCTGAAATGGAATAGGGATTTTGGAACTGGGACTGCCACCCAATTCTAGAGGTACTTCACCTCTGCAGGAAATTCAGGGTTTGTTGTTTGTTTTTAAATCAACCCTGTATGAAACTTTGAAGTTTTCCTCTTGTACATACCTCAGAACAGGTCTTGATTGCTCAAACAACCTTTACACCTTTTGTCTGAGCCCAGAAATTGAGCATTCTCGTGTAAGCTTTTGGAAGTTTTGAACAGGCAAGTGTGCTATGGAAATGAGTATGACATGCTTACTGCAATGTGATCTAAACACAGGGCAACAGGCTCCTCTGATTTTTCTCTGAAAATGGCTCAAGATTTCCCACACTATTTCACAATAAAGCTGCATTGCTAAAGAAATAACCAGGACTGTGAGAAAAGATTCAAATTCAAAAAAGATTCCCTCACTCTTGTGAGGGAACAGTCATGACTTTTCTTTGGGCATTAATTACTTTAACATGTTCCAAAAAGAAAGGCTTCACAAACAGGGAGGGGATCCCAAGAAGACTAGGTAACATCCTCTCCTAGGCCTTCAGTTCACTTTTTACAAAAGTGCAGGCAGAGGATATTTAAACCATGCGATGCTCTAACATTTGAATTGGGGACAAACCAGTGGGAGCCATGACAGGTTTTCCCCTCATTTTTACAGAGTTTTGAGATTGTTGTTTGTTTTTTTTAAATGATGTTATTAATGCTGAAAACTAGATGCCACTCACCTGTAACTAGAAGTGGTATAGGATGTAAAACAAGTCCTGCCCTCAGCATTCCTTTCTGCTAAGTCTAAACAGCTCCTCGCTGACATCTTTTAAGATCATATACTGTTAAGCAGGTAATTCTGCTAATTAGGACATGATCTAATCAGGGTCCTATGTTCCACAGTACATGCTTAAAAAATATATTTTCATTACAGATATTCCAATTTAATTTAAAAAATGCAAATCAATTTCAGTAACCCCTCTATGTAATAGTTTTTGTAAACATGAAAGAATTTGTTGGGATCACTTTTTTTTAATTGGACAAAAAAAGCAAGAGCTACAAGAGTAATTTCTGGTTGAAGAAATTCTCAGGATATTGCATCAATGTTGGAACGCTCATCCAAGGGGAAGGGTGGTGGGTTGACCTTGGCTGGACACCAGGTGCCCACCAAGCTGCTCTGTCACTCCCCTCCTCAGCAGGTATGTGTGGGTGGTGAAATAAGATGGAGAAAAAATTGTGGGTCAAGATAAAGGCAGTTTAATAATGTAAAAGCAAAGATTTATTCTCTGCTTCTTGTCAGCAGATCATGTCTAGCCCTTTCCTGGGAAGCAGGGCTTCAGTATATGTAGCAGGTGCTCCAAAGGACAAACACCATTAATAACAAACGCCTTCCCCCCGCCCCCCCTTTCCTCCTTGTTGAGCAGGTGTCATATGGTATGGAATATCCCTGTGGTCAGTTTGGGTCAGCTGTCCTGGCTATGTCCCCTCCCCAGATATTGCCTACTCCCAGCCAACTGGGAGGTAAATATTAGGAGACAGCCTTGATGCTTGGGAGCACAGCTCAGCAGTAACCACTACACTGTTATTAGCACCTTCCTAGCTACTAACACAAAGCACAGCAATATGGGGAAAGTTAGCTCCATCTCAGTCATACCCAATAGAGGAAGTATTTTCATTTCATAGGAAAGCTTTGTGAAGAACTTCCAGTGTTAACAACTGATATGCAGCACTTCAGCCTTTAGGGCACCTCTATAAAGCCCTTGCAGATGTGGCAAGACTTTGTAGGTTTTATCCACTGCTCACAGCAACACACTGTTAATGCTAGCTGCTGTGTCTTAGTGCTTCTTTGCAAGACAAGTGCTCAAGCAAGTGTTTGCTTCCAAGAGTTCAGTACACACTGCACACAAAAACCCCCAAACAACCAACCCCTTCCAAAAACTGAAGAAAGACCATCTCTATAGGAAAAAAAAACAACACTAAAGCACTTAGCATGCTCATGCTAAGTAATGTAAACTGGCACCATTTCACAGATTAAGTTAGTATAATCAGGGTGCAAGTAACTTGAGAATAGCAGCTAGAGATAGTACAAAACATTTCAGGTGTAACACTCAAACCATTGCCCATTGCTAATTTTTACTACATGGGGCAGACTGCACAGCCATGCAACATAACAATGCAGGTAGAAGAGATACAAATGTCTGGCTCCAGCTGTCTGTCTCACCCTTGTGCAAGGGTAGTCAGATGACTAATAAGCTTGTCAGGCCACTTACCCATTGGAGTTGACACCATGCTAGTGTTGAGTAGGGAGGGGAAAAAACAGGAAATTACACCCTCACCTCTTGTGTAACTCCACCCTCAGGTTATGTATTGTTATACAGCTGAGCTAACACTGCTGCCACCAGGAGAAAAAAGAGCTGTACTCTCCTTAGTTGTTGGCTCTGCTGCTTGTCTGATTAAACCCATAGACTCAACTCTTTTCACCAAGTAATTTTCCTGCTACTTGAACTTTATACCATTCTCTTGTTAGAAACTTGAAGTCCTGAAGTTAGGTACCACAGCTGATAGGTAGTTTTTGAGTGTACCTACTCAATAAATCTCCCTGAAGTAGTTTTGACTTCAATAGTTTATTTAAAATTGTAAAAGCGTAAATGTTACAGACATTGAGCAATTGCATATTTGTTAGACTCATACTTACTCAGAAGATGGGTATGTGCAAGGACAAGACAGTCATGCTCAGATTTCCCCCCAGTAGTTTGTTGCTTTAGTATTTATTCCCCAGTTCAGTAAAACTTCCATAGAAACAGTGAGGAACTACAGATATATAATAGTTAATTCTTGAAATGTGTAAAGATAGTTTACCAACATCACTTAGCCCTTCAAGAGCTACTTAAGTTAGAGATCTGCCTAGTATTTGAAAGGATGAAGACTAGACTAGGCAAGATTTACAGCAAACAGGCAACAGGCCATTACAGTTCACTCAAATAATTTGTATTTATAGCTCAAAAGTATGTGTCACCTTTATCACATTCCAGAAGATACTAGTGGGGTATGTATACACACACATTTAAAAACCCAACATGTATGTATATACATTTTTTAAATAAGGCAAGTATTAATTTCAGGCTGTGAAAACATGTTTCCAGCCCCTCTTCCTATTAATACAGGATATGTTGCAATTTTATTGCTAAAGAAAATGGATCATCATTGCAAGCAGAACAGCATCAGTACTGGCTTTAGTCAGCAGTCCAGTTGAGTTAATAAGGTTTAAGATACACATTATTACTATGGAAGAACCGTACTTTTACAGAAATACAGAAGACTAGTTGAATTACATTTAGATCACACCAGATCATTCTCTTGACATAGGCTGTAGTTAACAGTATATACTAAAAGCAGAACAGCCCCATTTTGGAGCAACAGAAAGATATCTAAAATACTACTTCCTCATCTTTTATTAAGTTGTTTTATTAAAAAATACACAAAGGAAGGATGAGGACACAACATACTTCATCTGCTGCTCTAACAATGCCTTCTGTAAAAAAGGATGCAGGACTTTTGAGCTCATCCAAATGTAAATCCTAATATGTCTCAATATGCACACCATTATCTTTGTGTAGCTTTTAAGTATTACTTCTTAGTATGATTTACAAGCTGCACTCTCGAAGTTTTTTGTCAGCCTGCTTCAAGGAGATCCAGGTGTTCAATATGTTTGATCGCAGTTTGGCCCACACCAAATGGTTGTTTAACCCAAATATCTGGGCAGCAAACTGGGCAGCTCCTTCAGGTGACAGAGTGGTAGGACAGCTAAGACCTGCAGAGAAGAGTGCCACTTACCAAAGTGCATTTTATAGTCAAGTAAAACAGTGCCTCCAAAGAACAATTTAAGACAATGTTCATGTCAGCTTCCAGGAACCACATGATCTAGTTTTAATACTGAAGTGTCATGTGTTCTGCTACTTCTAACACTACTGCTTCATGGCAAGCCAAAAGCCAGCATACCAAATGACTGCCCTTATACAGAGATAGCAGACTTCTAGGCCTCCTAGTTGCCAAGCATCCATTCATGTCACTAACAAAGGTAAAAATGCAGTGAGGTAAGAGTTAACCTCTTACCTACATGAATTGTGGATAAATACATATTTTTGTATTTGATCATAAAAAAATGCAGCAACACAAAATTCAAAATTCAATTATTCAAAAATAAATTACTTCAATCTCCATTATTACTAATTCCAATTACTAATTCAAATTTCCAACTGGAATGTTTAGCAAGGATAAACCAAGGTTTATATTTTTGCCAAGATTATTCTTATTTAATCTTTGCTCTGTGTGTTGGGCTTTTTGCCATCAAGAGGTCTAAGACTGTATGCAAGATAATTCTAAATACTTTGTTTGCTACTGATTCATCTAGTTTTCCAGTGTTTTTCCATGTGTTTGTATATGTACGTACACTAGAATACAACAAAATAGAGCTAGGCTAGAACAAGACTGCAAGCTGAAGATCATCTTACCACTAGGTAGTCTGAGAGAGGACCACACATCCTGAGTACCCCAGTCAGCTGAGAGCGGAGGACAGTTGACAACTGGGTAAGCAGTGTTGCCAGACATTACTGGCCCCAAACCGTTGCTTCTGCCAGCTACTGCAACAAACACTGTTGGAATTCCATCTCCTGGGGGAAGGAAGACATTAAGAAATAAGCAACCCACCTTGTTCTCTACCACTTGCTTTTGTGGAAACTTTGAGCCCACAATTCTGTTTGCAGATACTTAGTCAATTCCATTACACAGGACTAGAATTTTGTCTCTAACTTCCCCCTATACTGAAGTATCTTCTAAATTTTGCAGCCTTAAACCCCAGCTGCTGTTTATCAGAGCTGAAGTTGGCATGTCTTATTCTGAGGGGAACTCTCAGTATCAGAGGAATAGGTGCTGCTTAGCTTTGTAGAGAACATGGCCATTAAACCTCTGGCATCTTTAAGCATTCCTCTTAAATCTTACACAGTTCACTTCAAAGTGTTTCTCAACTATGTTTATCATGCTTGTAGTTTCACTGAGTAGAAAGTATACTACCACAAAAATAAATACTTCTTATCTCTCCTCTTCAAAGGTGTTTATAGCCTAGTAGAGATTTTAAGTTTTCTTGGTAAATATAAGAATTTAAATGAAGTATTTTTTTTTTCTCTCACGGCATCTAAAATGATGAGCAAGAATGTTTTCACAAAACAGGCAAGAGAACATGGATGAAAGTAACATCCACCTTACAAATAACACATTCACTCAGCTACATAAGCTACTACTCCTCATTTCACCAGCAAGATGCTACAATAAGAGTATTAGCATGATCAAGCCTCAGGCAAGGTAGTTTTGACACTAGGTTAAAAGCAGAGATCAGACTTAAAATGGAAGTTGTGGCTAAGCAGCAGGACAACATGTTACTCTGTAATTGCCTAGTGCAGTCTATAACCTGTCAATTTATAGCTAGCAAGTGTAGAACAGCATTGTAACAGATTGGTGTTCTGTTTAACAAAAAAAAAACAAACAACAAAACAACAAAAACAGATCCCCCCCCCCCAATCTTTAAGTTACCAAGTTATTCTTGAACGTGATACTGTTTCAATTCGAATCAGTGGTTCTTTGGCATTTACCTTCATATTCTGCTTTGATCCTTAGGGTTTCATCTGGCCCTTTGTGAGCAGAGGTCACTCTTAACTCACAAGGAATTCCAAAGGTTGCACATGCCTTCTTTATTTTTTCACAGTGAGTGAGGTCAGAAGAAGATCCCATCAACACCACTACTCTTCCTTGGCTCTTTGTTTTCAGAAGCAACTAGGGAAAAGAGTAGAAGAGGGGTGAGGGAAAGAAAAGCAGTCAACACTATTCAAGACATGCAGTTATCTAGGTATAGATCTGTTGTTCATAAAAACACATACCTCCACTCTTTCTGCAACCCATTCAAAGTTTTTCTTAACCATTTGAAGTGCTTCAGGAGTCACTTCTTTCAGGTCCCGGTAGGACTGAAAAGAGGAAAAAAACCCAACATATTGAAGCTGTTGCATTTCGTGTACACAAAGCACTGATTTTGCTACCATAATCTGTAAGAATTTAAATATTTATGCAGTTTCTAGCAATGCCACAGTAAGGAGAACAGACATTGGTACAGATATAGAAGAGTGGATAAGAAGCAAGGAAGAGTGAAGAACCATCTCAGTAGGTGTAAACTACCTTTACATTACAATTCACAACTATTTGCAAGACAAAAGGCTTTTAGCTACAAGGGTGTCAAGGTTTTCCAAGCTTCCTAAAGGGTAAATTTAAGGAAAGACATACAACTTTTAAAAAATTGGATTTGTAACTACATTATTGCCTGCAGTAACACTGCACCAGCCAGCCTATATTCTGTATGATCTTACCATATATATACATCTTGTTTTAGGAAGGTGAGTAAAAGCACTATCAGATCAATTTATTCAAGCATGTCACTACATTAATTCAGGTAAAGACAAGAATTGAGTTGTTCTGCTTCCCGATTTGAAAGTCATACCCCTCCTCCCACATGCACATTTCGAGATCTTCCCCTGCAACTTATAGCCATTTTCTCTCACAAGGTCTCTGTTACTGGTCTCAACAACTGTCAGAGCAGCTCCTTTGGAGCAGCATTCCCAGACTGGTTATTTCATAACTATTTATCTGGTAACTCAAAGATATTTGACAAGTGTAATGTCTAAAAGTTTAAGTATAGGGCAAGTTTTATTTCAAACTTGTGTCTGCAGCCCTCACGTGGACACAGAATGTTAGTAAGGCAAAGAAAACTGAATATTGAATTCCAAGCTTAACCAAAATAACTTAGGAAGGAAAGCATCCTCCCTGCAGATCCCTCCCTCTTATGTATCACCAGATCTTTTCTAGTAGAGGATACCACTCTGAATTAACAGGAAAACTTGGAAGGAGACCTGGGAACCAGAGCTTCTATTCTTCCTACCAATTTGTTGTCCAAATATTTTATTATCTGCACAACAGTCAGAAATTCTTACTACCCCTGGAAGACACACACTTCACTGCAACACCTGCAGTCAACAGTGCTGTTGAGTATTCCTATTGAAACTACACAGACAGGATTTTTCTTTTGCCATAAACCAGAATCAACTATTTAATGAGAACAGAATCAGCTATTAGGTACCCTATGAGCTGTAACAACATAAGACTTTCTAGAAAAAGCCTCTCTGAAAGCAGATGTTTAACTGCAGAGTTTACTTTCTTCCTTCTCCTCCCTAACTGATTAAGAAGGTAAAGATTATAACAGTACCTGTTTGTCCTTCTGCTGGCTTCTGTCCCCTGATGGCCACAATCTCCATGAATCATTATCAATAACATCAGCAAGAACAATTTCTTTTGTCAGAATATTAACCCCAAATTCAATCTAAAAAAAAACAAACACCACAACAAAACAGTAAGAATCCTATCTTAGGAGCTATACAGTGACATATTGCCTGTCAGACCAGGATCATGAAAAATCAGATTCTTGTACCTTCAGGTCCACCAGAGTGCAATTTTGGGGCTGCCATGATTTTTCCAGAATCTCAAAAATAGCTTGAGTAGAACGAGCCATAATATCCACTTCAGTCTGGCCAATAGTAAGTCCAGCAAAACAGAATTTTGCTTCAATGATCTGCTCCTCAGACCACTGTGGATCGTTATTAGCATCATCCTGTTAAGAAAACCCAAACATATACAACATGTAATTCAACCTTGCTATAAGAGGAAAGTTACCTAACATTATCTTCTAATGGCTTTTCTTGTTTATTTTTCAAAGAAAAAAAAACAACAAATACAGGCTTCAAACTAGTATTTCATATTTTGCATTAAAAATGTAACAGCAATATTGAAAACACTTGCTGCAACACCCTAACATCTTTAAAAGCACTTTAAGTTTGGACAGTGCCTCTAGAATGAGGGTACACTAGACACAACACTTTAGGTCATAGTTTACAAGACATTTATTTCTGCACACATTTCCAGAGAAGTTCAGAATCCTAAGTGACTAGCTAGCTACTTACACTCACCATTCAATTACCCCTGAATTTCTTCAAATATCAACACATTGGTTTCAACTAGTGCCTTAGGCTTACATCTAAAAAGTCTTTATACCACATAAATAAAATATTTTCTTATCTCACATACAATTTGGCTCATTATTCTTCCATAGCTCTTTAAGGCACTATTACATTATATGCACTTTAAAGAAAACAACTGTTAGACAAGAGTGCAAGAAAACATTAGGATAGCAAAATTATCAATACTAAGAGCATTGGTCAGCCACAAGCACTACTTGCTTTATTTATAAGCATTTTGAAGGAGACAATACCTCTGTTTAAGTTTGATTAACGTTACATGAAGGGAAACTTACCTTGTAAAACATCTCAATTTTGGGGGGGTAAAACTTATATCCTTCCTTGACACCAGGGTTTCTTTTGAGGAAGGAGCCAGTAGCAATTCTCCTGCACACCCATTCAATTGGGATCATCTCACAATGAGCTGCTATGAATGCTGTGTCACTGTGTTTCCTGACAAAAGCTGTTTTGATTCCTAAATATAAAGATGGCAACTTAGTTCCATTACTAGACACATTCAACAGTTGAAACAATAGTCTAACATCTTTAAGTACAAATGAATCTTGTTCTTCTCTGGACTTAAGGGACATGCTGAATTTCTTCAGGGTATTTTAAGCCTGCTCTGGCACTGCAAATGTTAATCAATGCAATTATCTTTCAAAAGTCATTAGTTTTGCCAGGTTTATCACACAGTGCTCTGTTGTAGCTCAGAACCTTATTCTCTGGTCAGAAATCCTATTCTTGCAAATAATTTTGTTCACAGAGCTTCTAGAAAGTCTGTCCCTCACAATGGTTTGTTTTGAACAAAAGTGTGCAGCAATCAAGTACCCAAACATGCTCTCCAGTAGAAGATCCATTATACATGCAACAGCAATTGGAAGCGTTCAAATGAGTTAGGAAACATGGCAGTCTTTACTAGGTTGTTTAATGAGGGAGGATGGGGCAGGGAAGAGAATTAGTCCTGCCTTTCATTACAAACTAACATTTACTAGTGCACCAGATCTTAGTGATTTGATAGGTAAAGGCACCAAGATTCAGAAGTGCACACACACACAAATACGCTGCAGCAGGTCAACCTTCTTATGTAAGTCTAAGATGACACCACAGTAAACAGGGACAGCCAACACACGCAGACAGGTGCTGTTGCAAAATGGCTCTTTGCAATTTTACTCTTGAGGAAAGTCCCACCTTTCTCCCCTTAGGGCAAGGCAACTGGCAAGTGCAACTGGCATCTGCCAGAAACAGAAGACAAAGAAGTTGCATCCAGTCAAACCAAGAAGTAGCTCTATTCCATTCCACTTCCAGAGCCATAAAGGAAGAATTAGTCTTAAAATATAGCATTAACATAGACTCCTCAGATTTTGTTTCATTACCCTCAAGGGCATAGTGATTTAAATAATCAACTGCACAGTAAGTCACTTCTAAAGAGGCATTAAGACCCCTGCATGGTTTACTACTACATGTGTCATCAATGCGGATGTGTTTCTGTAGGGCCAACATCAGCTCTATTATAAAACAGAGGAACTTTACCAGAACTTTGTAAATCATCACCTCTAAAAGAGCAGGTTAAGAGTTGCGCAAAGCACACAAACTGCTTCTGTGATAAGGCGTTCACATTATCTGCAGTTTACTCCAGTCACCTAAGCAAACTGAAGAAGAGCCCTGAAAGTTCCCTTGTTACTTTAAAATACAACTGCAGTTTACTCTGCATATTTTCCCACTACACCTGAAGTTACTGAGTACCAGCCATTTAAGGATCTTTGAGAGCTCTACTGCAGTTTCTTCACATTGAAAGTTCATATCTGTAGGATTTTACATATTTTGATTGCCCAATTCTTAAACGACAACAGTTAAGGTAACAAAGTGTCTCATTAATTGTTCCTAAATTATAACTGGTACTGCTACTAATCAACTGCAAATATAATCAGAAAGACCTCGGAGGCTTCTTTGTATTGTATGCACAGTAGGCTTCCCAAGAAAGCCAGTGACTTTGGATTATACTGCCTGACTTGATGTATCTTTGTCTCAGCCCATATTTAAGAACTACTTACACAGAAATACAGGTAGATACAACTCTCCAGAAACCATCTATCTCTTCCCCACATGACACGTGCTAGAACTTCACCGCTGGACTAGTAACTATTACTTTATATGCACTTTATAACAGATAATACAACTTCTAGATTAACTCAGCTAGTACCTGAAGCCATTTTTGTGTGAATGCTTCGAAGTGCACTGAGCACACAGGTATAAACAGTCCTCAAATTTACTGATGCTTTTATTATAATACCATTTGCAGACTCAAGTCAGAAACCCACCAGTATAAAATCCTCTTTGCAATTTGCAGACTCCTCAGCCAAAGGTTCTTCCTCAAAGCAAAGATACTGGCTCCATTTTTGGAAGTGTGGTGCAAAACTTACTTGAATGACTCAAGTTAATTATGTACTCCATGAAAGCTGGCTTCCAGCATGAGAAATATTTTGAATCTTTTAAAGTAAACATTAAGTTCCAGGCATGTTCAATATAGATAAGATTCATGTCTTTGTGATATAGTCCTCATTAAGTATTTAGGTACAAAGCACACAAACACTTAAATGTTGATACAGCACATGCAACTGAGGGGGGAAAAATAAAAAGTAATTTAAAATTATAATCTAATTTTATCTTTTAACATTTCTACACGAATTTCATACGGCTTATACATAGTTTGGCAGCACCACTAGTTAGCAGTGACTTTTATGCAAGCAGATGTAGTACAGAAGGCAAGATGGATCCAGCCCAGTATTACAGGCAAGCACAGGGGTAGAGAAAAACTTAGAGAACTAGAGGGGAGGATTAGAGGTGTCCAAACAAGCAGGAGAAACCATTGCAGTGTTATCTGCGATTAGAAGATTACTTAAGATAGCTTCACGTTCCAAGTGAACAAGCTGCCCACCACCCAGGGAAAAGTGTAACTAAAAACTAACAGAAAAGACACTCAAAAAACCCATCAGTGCCTCATGGCAGGATAAACCAATACTCAGAAACAACACCGTCATTATACTCTACCTTTGAAATACTTACCAGCTTCTTGAAGCAACTGAAACACACAGCTAGTGGTTATATTGGAAATGGCAGCCTTCCCTTCCATTCGGTCCTTCCTGGCTGCGTTGCCCGCTGTTATTTGGTCTTTTGACTGCATGAGAACACATCCCGGGACATCTGGCAGCTCGTACACTTCTTTCGTTTTGCCTTCATTAACTTTTTTACCAAGTTTCAGGTCTAGAGAAATAAATCAATACAACCAGTTTTAGATGTAAGGATTTATTTTTTTCCTTCTTTACTACTCCTCCCCCCCC